GGCTGGGACTAGAACCCCTGGCCTTTCAAGCAGCTGTGGGGCATCCCTGGGCCCATTTACAGTCTCCCAGCACAAACGCCCACCTCCCAGCACCTCCACGCGTATGTTCAGTCAAATCACTGAGGGATGAAAACATGGCCCCGCCACCATGTTAATTTGCATTTTCCTGAACCCGAGTGAGACTCAACATCTTTTCATCTGTTTCAAGGCCATTTGTATTCCCCCTTCTGTTAAGTGTCCACATAGTTCTGTCAACTTTTCTCTTGGGCAGTTTTTTCTTACTGACTTATTATGTTTATTTCGAATCACTTTTATTCCCATCAGCTGCATGTCTTTTGACTTTCCCTGTCGTTTGTCACGGTAGAAAAGTTTAATTTTGTCTCGGTCAATTTCTCTTCATGACTTTTGAGGCCTTGGAAACCCAAAATTCATAAATACATTTACTTTCACATTAGATGACTAACTGGGTGGTTTTTACTTTACATCCACTCACCACCCACACCGCATGGTCAGTGATGTGAGCGAGGCAAGGATGCGGAGAAGGATCCGAAGGCACAGCCACAGGACCTGAAGCCCTGTGTGGGTGAGTCCCTCCTTTCTTCCCTGGTGGGAAATGTCACTGTCACTGTCTCCATGTTCAAGTCTCCATATACATTGGTGTGTGCTGCTGGTAGTTGCTGGTTTCTCTACCAGAGCTGCATGTGCCTTTGTCTGCCGTTTCCCTTTTAGGGAAACAGTTGCCTAGGGAGCATTACCAAAACTGCTCCCCTGCCCACCCCCACTGCACTCTGTTTTTTGAGTTTTTTTCCTAAATTAATAGTACTTCAAAAAATTTTGTTGACCCAGAAGCACAGATTCAAGTTGCCCTCAACATACATAAACCCACTGGTCCTTATTTTTAAAACTCTAATTTAAAATTTGATTCTTGAGGGGAAAGATAGATTAACAGCAACACAGAATGACCCAATAACATTTGTTTTAGTTCTTAAAAATTATGACAGTATCTTTCTTGGCTCATTTAAGGATGGAGACCTCTCAGTGCTGTCTTTGGCTCTATCTCACTGATTCCTTTTTTTTAAGTCAAGCACAAAAATGAGGTTTATTGAGGAGAGAAAGATAGGATTATAGGGAAAAGCAAGTACGCAATTACAGTGCACGGTACATATTCCACAGATGACAACCGGACCCATTGTTACAGCAAAGTGAGAGCCAAAGGAACAGCACAAAAAAATTATCTCACTGTTTCTTTTTCCCTTTTCAAAGCTTCTAAAGCAGATTTAGTACCTTTTGCTAAATAGCACTCCTGCAGGAGAAAAGCACTGAATCTCCCTACGTCACCTTCCGTAATCTTTCAGAAGAGATGAGCCCATTTGCATAAAATCATGTGG